AGGGTCCTGGGATCGAGTCCCACATTGGGCTCCCTGCTCAGCGGGAAGCCTGCTTCTCCCTCTGCCTCTCTCTCTCTCTCTGTCTCTTATGAATAAATAAATAAAATCTTAAAAAAAAAAAAAAAAAAGAGCCTAGAGGAGAACACAGGCAGCAGCATCTTTGACCTCGGCCGCAGCACCTTCTTGCTAGGCTCGTCTTCAAAGGCAAGGGAAACAAAAGCAAAAAATGAATTATTGGGACTTCATCAAGATAAAACACTTCTGCACAGGGAAAGAAACAGTCAAGAAAACTAAGAGGTAACCTACGGAATGGGAGAAGATATTGGCAAATGCCATATCTGAGAAAGAGTTAGTTATAAAGAACATACCAACCTCAACGCCCAAAACACAAATAATCCAGTTAAGAAATGGGCAGAAGGCGTGAATAGCCACTTTTCCAAAGGAGACATCCAGATAGCTAGCAGACACGAGAAAAGATGCTCAACATCACTCATCATCAGGGAAATGCAAATCAAAACCACAATGAGATACCACCTCACACCTATCAGAATGGCTAAAATGAACAACACAAGAAACAGCCGGTCTTGGGGAGCATGCAAAGAAAGGGGAACTCTCTTACACTGTTGGTGGGAATGCAAACTGGTGCAGCCACTCTGGAAAACAGTATGGAGGTTCCTCAAGAAGTTAAAATTGGAACTACCTTACCATCCAGCAATTGCACTACTTAGTGGGTATTTGCCCAAGGGAACAGGACGCTTTTAACAACACATAGGAACAGACTTTCTGATTTAGAAAATAAAAGGGAGAAGTAACGACATAGACAATGGAGAATCTATGGATAAAAATATCAATTCTTATGGGAGAGTGGCTTATAATAAGAAATTAGACTATATATTTTCACTTTTGGATGGAGATCCACAAAATTAAAACAAATGCCTTCAGATTTTGAATTTTTAATGGCAGGAAATATGATTAGCAATGAATTATATATAATTAACAAAAAGCAGTCACTGTCTTGGCTCTTTAATATTCTGAAGGTTTAAGTTTTGATATATTTCATCTTAAATGGTTTTAAACAGCAGGCAGGTATTAGTATATTAAAAATCACCATTATGTTTTGATCCTCTAAAACTGATTCATGATATTTTCTTAGTACATTATTATAAAACTATGCTAGTGGCCTGGATTTATTATTACTTTTTAACCACGCTAGTCACATTGGAGTCCTGTAAAGTTGTTTAAAGAGCTAATATTTAAAAATATTTAAGGTCGCCACTATATTATGAGAAAATGTCAAACATACAAAATACTCTCTTTTGAAAACAAGCTAAGAAGTATATTTTAAATACGGATAATTTGTCTTCCTTTTTAAAGCCAAGAAACTAAAATTATAACAAATTCTGCTTTTGACATACTTGAAATATCGTATCTTAAAATAACATCTTTTAATACACCTACTACTTACTTTTTCAATATATTTAAAATACTTCTGGGGCGGGTGCCTGGGTGGCTCAGTCGGTTAAGCGTCTGCCTTCAGCTCAGGTCATGATCCCAGGGTCCTGGGATCGAGTCCCACATCCGGCTCCCTGCTCAGTGGAAGTCTGCTTCTCCCTCTGCCTGCCGCTCCCCCTGCTTGTGCTCTCTCTGTGTCAAATAAATAAATATTTAAAAAATAATAATAAAATAAAATAAAATAAAATAAAATACTTCTTGGACACCTGGGTGGCTCAGTCGGTGAAGCGTCTGCCTCCAGATCAGGTCACGATCCTGGAGCCCTGGGATGGAGCACCGCATCAGGCTCCCTGCTCAGCGGAGAGCTGGCTTCACTCTCTCCCTCTGTCCCTTCCCCTACTTGTGCTCTTTCTCCCTCCCTCTCTCTGTCAAATACATAAATAAAATCTTTTAAAAATATATATTTTTAAATACTTTCACATTATACGAAAAATTAACCATTAAAAATTAATTTAGGGAGGTATGTAGTTTTATACTTTTACCCTTAGGACTGTGGATTCCATACATCTCTGCCAGGTACATCCCATGTCCCTCAGCTCATTGGACTGGAAGGTCCTGAGATCTTGTATATTCCTTTCATCATCATCATCACCATCATCATCCACGTGTTTCTCTCTCTCTGAACCTGTGCAGGGGTTTCTCCCCCCAGAACAACCCCGAATCTATAAGAAAACCCCAGAGCATTATTTTGACCCACCACGTCCCTTAAAGAACAGATCCTGTTGTAAAAATCCCTAGTGTTAAGGTATTACCTGAGAAAGCAGAAAATAACCCACATGGGACTAGTCCAAAAAAGGCAGGCTCTGAAGAAAATCCTCTGGGACAGACAAGTGGCGGCCCAGCCCCCTCCTTAGCCACTGTGGCGCGCACAGGGGAGTGTTCGCCTCACACTGATGCCACCCCACGCAGTCCTGAAGCCATGGCGAGCCTCCTGGGAAGTTCCTGAGGAAATTACCTCACTGAGGATGAGCTGAACGCCCTCTGAAGGAACACTCACGTGGGCCATCCTCCTCTTAAAGGGTGGAGTCCGTCGCCCCCTGCTGGCTGTCGGGTGTAGCGCAGGATGCTGAGAACTCACTGTTTGGGGTGGCCATGCATGGCCTTTCTGCCTTCCAGGGCCGCGCAGGCTGCTCTGGGATCGCAGGAAATGGATGGGCACCTCCTCCTGGCCAGGTTGCTGAATCACTCAAAAATCTCAATGCCCCAGCTTTCTTGCTGACTGCATCTGTGATGCTCTGCTCTAGCCATGCCTACTCTCTTGCCTGGAACATGCCTCACTCCCTGAAGCCCCACGGCCTGGAGAACAAGGGAGTCATCAGGCTTTTGGGTCATCTCAAAAGAATCGCCTCCGTGCCATGACATAAGGACAGTAACCATTTCAGCTCCCGAAAAAGAGCCACCCATTTCCGCCATCACATTCTCCACTGGATCTTTAACCTATTACATACAGAGAACAGCAGCTCTCCTTGGGGTAAGGTCCTCCTTGAGGCACTAATATGTGGACTTGATCACAATCACAAATAACTGAAGCAGAAGATGAAAGTGGAAAATCTTTGGCTTGTCCTCATTTTGAAATTATGGTCTAGAGGCACTTCCAAAAACTCAAGTGGTGGGGTGCCTGGGTGGCTCAGTCGTTAAGCGTCGGCCTTCGGCTCAGGTCATGGTCCCAGGGTCCTGGGATCGGGCCCCACATCAGGCTCCCTGCTCAGCAGGAGGCCTGCTTCTCCCTCTCCCACTCCCCCTGCTTGTGTTCCCTCTCTTGCTGTGTCTCTCTCTGTCAAATAAATAAATAAAAATCTTAAAAAAAAAATCAAGTGGTTATCTATACAGCTGGAATGCCTTCGAGCTTTGTCAAGGAAGGAATCAAACTGTGTTGGAATTTGTTTTTTTTTGTTTTTTTTTTTTTTAGTTTTCGGTTGTTGTTGTCCTCACTTACCAAGTCCTCTGAAAAACTAATGAATAGGGTGGAACATTAGATCCCCTCTATTCAGTTATGTTTTTGTGCACAAGAACATAATCTGCACTCATACTATCTATAAAATATCTGAAAATGTAAGAATGGTAATACATTTAAAATATGATACAGCTTAAATACACAAAAAATGATTTAGAGAGAACGTGATCTATGTTTCTTAAATAAAGGAACTTACGAATTACATTTTACATTTATCCTCTCAGAATTCTTTGCGTTAAAACTTTAACTCCTAATCATGGTGTGGGAACTTCAGGTGAGCTCAGGACAGTGTCTGTTTTTCACCCAGATTGTACGCAATTCAGTATTTAAATTGATAGTTCTGTGCCCATGCATGTCCATAGATCATCAGTTTGATGGCATTTCCCGTGATGGAACTCCCTGCACCCTCCCCTCTCATGCCTCATCTTGCCAAGAGGAAAGGCTCACCCCTGCCCCCCTTGACGTCACTAAAGCATTAAACTATGGCAAAGAATGCAGCCATTCATGGGCTTGGGCCTAGCTACCAATGTAGGACAGATCAGTAACAACACAGCTGTGTAGACACACTTGTGACTGTCTGAGACCATGGACTTCAGAACCACATGGACCCAGAAGTCATCTTGGCCAGTAAGGGAGAATGTGGGAATTCTCACTGGCCATGTATATGGACCTGATTTTGGCAACTAAGAAACCATCCCACATCCAGCAAGTCCCAGCCAAGAAGGAGTGGCAACGATGGAGGGAATTTCTGCCTTAAAGAGAATTGTATAAGAACTGCGGGGATGCTGAAAATCTTATTCATAGATAGCATAAATGTTTATGGAAGGAGGCCCAGCTGTAGCTTCCAAACACGCATCACAATCTTGATCCCAGATATAAGACAAGTAGGAAAAGGAATTCAGGAGTCATGGACAAATATCCCAGGAGGATTCAGATATAGGTAGAGGGAGGAGGGAGCCCCTAGAGGGAGACTGAGGATGGGAAGTCCTGCCTGCCCTTAGGCTAGTCACAAATTATCATCTGCTGGCCTTGTCCTTTTCATGTGCGCCCTTTGGTCTCTTTTCATGGTTTTCCCTACTTAGTGCTGATGCCATTCCAGATGTTGAGCTAGAGAACTGCAAGTTTTTAATAACTTGTCAAAAGAAACCTCAACAAGAGAAGCCACAAATGTTTCCTCTTCCTCCGAAGTGTGCAAAAGTAGGCGCTGTCCTGGGGCGGGAAGCGGTCCTGGCAAATTGTTAGACTCCCAATTTCAGGGATTGTTGCTATGTCTGTAAGAGTAGCCTCAACCTCTAGACCCTGGGAGGTTGGAGGACTGTCACTGCTCCTCACAGGTGAGCAACACTGAAGTGAACATATCCTCTGAGGAAGGGGAATGGGGGGCCGCTTCACTAGTAAGAGTGTGGCATGGACTTTCTCCTCTCTCACACATACAGTAAGCTGCAAGATTTCTTTATTCAAGAAGGAACGTGAGCATCTGTTCATCATTTAAATTAGCGCAGGAAGTAAAAGAATCAAATAAGAACTCTCAGGCTTTCAAAGCAACAGGACTTTAATATAATAATATTTAAATCTGGCATTTACTAAGTATCACCCCTCCAAATGACTATGTATGGGCCTTGGAGAAGAGAAGGCAGGGGGATGGGTGGGATCATTGTCTCTTCCCCTGGCCTTCAGGGGACCACAGGAAGAGCCTCCCAATGGTCTCCTTCCCCTCAGAGCAGGGGTCCTGGAACCCCCAAGCATCCCAGCTGTGTCCCCACAGCTGAGGGAGAGGTGGCACTGCCAGCCCGGACACTCACTCGCCCCTGAGCTTGACGATGGCTGGCTCTTCTGGGCCTTCCCAGTTCTGCTGGCTGACTAGGATCGGGGCTCCAGCTGGCAGGACAGGATGTAGCTACAGGACAGAGTGACACCTGTGAGCCGGTCAGGAGCCACAGCTAAGGTGTCCTTCCCAGTGTCTGACCAGCAGCTAAAGTCCAGGTACACCAGGGGTCACCGTGCAGCAAGGTCTCGGGCTGTCCAGGGAGCCATGCACACAGGTTCTCTGGACTGGCCACCAGGGAGAGTCTACCACTGCCCGCCCCCATCTCCTGCCTGGCCTCATCTCACCTCTCATTCTCACTGAGCCTCTCCAGGTCTCGGAACCAGGCCCCAAATTGCTCGTTGGGGTTGAGGTTGTAATTATCTGCGGCCACCTGGAGCAGCAGGATCTCCCTCATTATTTCATATTCCTGGGGCCAGAGAGGAGGACAGGATACAGACAAGGCCTCATGGGGGATGAGGACTGGGACAGGGGATAGGTCCGGGGTCTTTGCATACACGGGAACCCTCCTTCCCTCAGTTCCATCTAGGCCATAGCTGTTCTCAAGGGTAGGTGGAAGTAGCCCGTCCTCAAGGAAGTTTGCCTTGATTCTCCCCCCACCCCCAAATGTCAGTTGGCTGGGTCTTCTACTTCTCTGCTATCAAACTTGCCCAACAAACATAAAACATGGGATGGAGCCAGGGAGCAATCTGTTGGGGGGTGGGGGTCTCTGATTTCCACTCCCCAACCTCTCCCGCAGGAAGTGCCACAGCTGCTCACCGCATTCCTTTTCCTGAGATTGATCTCTCCCCCCTGGAAGGCAGACAATCAAAATCCATCGGAAAGAGCCCAATAGCCATTACTAGTCCCTCTATGCCCACTCCTTCTCATGTTGCACTACTGCCGGGTCCCACAAGGGGGCCAGGCACATACAGAAAACGGGACAAGGCTCTAGCCAGGTTCTGGGCCCAAAGAAGGGGGCACATGGGGACAGAGGCTCAGGAAGCTTATAGCCCGGCCCTTTCTGATGATAATACAAGGAGGCTGAGGCCTCAGGCAGGAAGGGACTGCTCACTTATATGCTTCCTGACGTGGAGGGGCCAGACTTGGCTCTCTCCCAAGGGGCATCATATGAGGAAAAGGCTGATTCCAGCTCTGTCAGAACCTGTGCACTGTGCAGTCAGGCATGTCTGCTGCTTTACCAGCCTGGGGAACCCAGAACAATGTCTTATTTATGCGGAGTCTCCCTTCACTCGCCCTTCAGATGGGCATGATTTAGCAGCTCACAGGAGTGGCTGTGAGGTTCTCAGGAGAGGAGTTTTGCCAAGTTCTGACAGCTCAGGGCTCAGCACAGGGGCTCTCTGCTCCCAAGCCTCAGTCATGGTTCCCTGCTTAGTCCCCAGGCTCACCCACCTCCAGATAATCCTCCATGGTCAGGTGCATCATCAGCAGTTCACTGAGAAATGTTCGAAGGTAGGGGACAACACCCTGTGCCATTGTGGTAGGGGTGGGATGAGGCCCTGCTCTCAGGAGCCCCCACAGCCTTTCACAGAAAACTCCTCACCCTCAGCCTCCTGGCCCACCCCAGGGTTCCCACATGGAGCAGACTATGTCCCTCAGCAGCCTCCTCCCAATTCCCCCTCTCCTCACCCTCCAAGACCACCAGACTCCTAATCACTTCCCAGGACCTGACTTTGGCCAATCACAGGGTGTGTGGTCCCAGGCCCCTCCCTACCCCCAAATCCATCCTGCACCCAGCTTTACACACCATCTTCCTGGTCACTTCTAAGGAAGGATTTCAGGCACTGCGACAAGAGGAGTCAGGGCTGGAGTAAGAAGGGCCTTCCTCTCTTGATTTGGAGGCCTCCTGCTGGGAGGGGGAGCCCCTGCTCTCACCCTGGAGCCCCTGCCCCACAGGCACACTTACTTTCTGCTGCTGCTGCTGCCTCTCCTGGGTTTTCTGGGTGTTGATCTCCGGGGTGACAAACTTGGAGGGTGCCTCCTGCCAGGGTTGCGGACAGTGAGGCCACACCACTCCCCTCGCTCAAAGTCTCTTCAGCACTACTACGGGTTTTGGCCACCGGACGTCTGACCTGAGTCATCTGGTACCAGTGCTCTTCTGTCTTCCCAGTGTGTTCTGATTCTGGATCAATCCTAGCTCCAACACTCACTCTGTGTGTGGCCCAGGGACTGTGGCCTGGCCTCCCTAGGCCTGCTTCCTCATCTGAAAAGGGTGAGAACTCCACCCCCCGCACAGGGTCTCCTGAGGACCCAGTGCCATACTTCTATCATCACTGTTCCTGCCCTCGCACATCCAGATGGAGCAGGAAAGATCCACACATTCCTTTCCTCCCTCGGACCTCATCACCACTTGCTGAGGCCTGCACCACAGAATCATCATCTCCCCATTTCCCAGATGAGGCCCGAGAGGGGCAATAAGTTTTTCAGGGGCTCACACATTGAGAGGTCACTGTTCCCTTTTAGCCAGAGACCCTGCCTCAGCGGCTCTCACTCAGTCTGAGACCACCACTGACCACAAATCCTTCCCTCTGGGCTCTTGAGGAAAGTCCAGGCCCCTACCTGGACCAAGCCACAGATGGAGAGGGATGGGGTGTTCTCAAAGTCTGGATAAGCAGCTCCTGCCAGCCTTAGCCGATCTGGAGTCTCTGCATCCAGACCAAAACCAAGGCAAAGCCAAAGATTTCACCTCCCCCAAGCAACAACTCCTCAGGGCATTCCTCAACTCAGCAGTCTTTCTTCATTCACTCAGGAAGGCAACCCTGAAAGCGCTACCTCTGACTGACAGAGAAGAGGATGACAGGACACTTTGTTTCCCCATTTACATGAAGCTTCTGATGAAGGAAGGACCCACTACCCACTGCGAAACTACCATTTCCCCCAGGCCCTCCTCATTAGCCACTGAGGGCATATGTCATTCTCAACTGGACACTCAGGTGAAGACTAGCCAGTGAGTGAATAGCAGTGGCTGCCATAGGGGCACGGTGTGGAGTCACAGAAGGCACACACATCTGTCTCTGGCCCAGCCATTTGGACCCAAGCCTGGGAAGCCTTTTTGTCCACCTGGTCCATGGGAATCCCCCGGGACATGCCCTCCCCTTGGAGGTGTTGCAAAAACAGAAGTAAAAGCACAGTCCTGGCTTTCTGAGAGCACGGTGGGCTGGTCTCGGAAAGAGAGGACTCCCTAACCATCCCATCCCCTCATTAGTGCCAGCAGGATGGGCCCTCACGGAAGCAGGAGACTGGCTAACGTTGCCAGCTGGACAGCCCAGCCAACACCACTATACCCTATGACCAGAGACTCCTGTACTTCAAACTGGACCCCCCGCCCCCACTTGCCCATAGGCCACACAGGTCCCTCTTCCTGTTAGTCCAGAACATCTAAATCATTACGTGAGAAACTAACAAAACCACATCCTGCCCAGTCCCCCTTCCCTCTCAGTCCTCCTCTCTTTCCAGACCCCCAGCCTCCACTCTACCTTGGTCATCAGTTCCCTGCTGAGTGACTTGTCTTGGCTTTGGAGCTTCTTAAATTTTTTGTAGCTCTTCCTGAGAAGAGACAAAAGAAAAAAGAGAAATTTAGGAATAACGTGGGGATTTGAGTGCAAGTCCCTTTTATTTCAGAACCAAAAGCTTCATCTGAGTGAGTATTTTCGCTGGGTTCCTTTGTGCACTAAGGTCTCCTTGTGACTGGGGAGGGGGGCTTTCATGGTGGTCACCTGAGGCCTCTATTCACATTTGTATTAAGCTTCTCTGTGTTGCCTAGTTTTGGTTTTCTCTGGGCATATGGTTCAGTTGCTGTAAACACTTGAAAGTCTCCAACTTAAATCAACCCAGTATCTGACATATAAAGAAACGGATTCCTGAAGCCGAACTGGTGGACTGAGGACCCAGAGAGGCTAAAGACCCCAACATCAGCCCAGTCTCTGTCCTCAGGGTTTGCGGCCTCCCAGGAGTTCCCAGCTGACTGATGGAGCAACGACAGACGTATGAGAGATCCCTAATCCATCCTGGTCCAATCTGTGGAGAGAGGCCTATCTACCTGGAAACCTTCCGCCATGTCTTCTTCAGACGGCAAATTGAGGCGTTCTGCAGAGCAGAGAGGATGGCATGCAAAGAGGAGTAGTTCTTCAGAATTTGGCACTCCTGGGGAGGAAAGAGGATGAGCTGTGAGGTGGGGAGCTAGAGCCCTATTTGCTCTAGCTTCAACCCCCTCAGTTTAAAACTCCCCTCTCCTCCCCTCCCAGATGAGATGGAGCCCTGGAAGTGCACATTTAGGGCCAGAAGAGTAACACTCACAGGGAGGAGGATTTTTTTTGGCGGGGGGGGGGGGGGGACTGTTTATTGTTATGTTAATCACCATACATCACATCATTAGTTTTTGATGTACTGTTCCATAATTCATTGTTTGGGCATAACACCCAGGGCTCCATGCAGAACGTGGCCTCTTTAATACCCATCACCGGGCTAACCCATCCTCCCAGCCCCCTCCCCTCTAGAACCCTCAGTTTGTTTTTCAGAGTCCATCATCTCTCATGGTTCGTCTCCCCCTCCGATGTCCCCCCCCCTTCATTCTTCCCCTCCTACTATTGTCTTCTTCTTCTTCTTCTTTTTCTTAACATACATTGCATTATTTGTTTCAGAGGTACAGATCTGTGATTCAACAGCCTTGCACAATTCACAGCGCTCACCATAGCACATACCCTCCCCAATGTCTATCACCCAGCCACCCCATCTCTCCCACCCCACCCCCCACTCCAGCAACCCTCAGTTTGTTTCCTGAGATTAAGAATTCCTCATATCAGTGAGGTCATATGACACATGTCTTTCTCTGATTGACTTATTTCGCTCAGCGTAACACTCTCCAGTTCCCTCCACGTCGTTGCAAATGGCAAGATCTCATTCCTTTTGATGGCTGCATAATATCCCATTGTATATATATACCACATCTTCTTTATCCATTCATTGGTCGATGGACATCTTGGCTCTTTCCACAGTTTGGCTATTATGGACATTGCTGCCATAAACATCGGGGTGCAAGTACCCCTTCGGATCCCTACATTTGTACCTTTGGGGTAAATGCCCAGTAGTGCAATTGCTGGATCGTATGGTAGCTCTGTTTTCAACTTTTTGAGGAACCTCCTTACTGTTTTTTCCAGAGTGGTTGCACCAACTTGCATTCCCACCAACAGTGTAGGAGGGTTCCCCTTTCAGGGAGGAGGATTTTGTTTAATTCAAAGAAGAAGCCAAGTAGGAAGGCCACCACCAGGACATGTGAGTCAAAGTCAGTGTGCCTCTGGCAAGAAAGGCCTACGGACTCTGGAGGGGCTCAGACCATAGAACTGAGAAGGTGAAGAGGCAGTTCCCCAGGATCCAGAGTGGGACTCCACTGGAACTCCCCCAGCATACCTGGGCCACATGGATCCAGTGCTCCACTACCCTGGCCCTGTGCTGGGCAGTCATGCTCGGGTCCCCAAGGCAGGTGGTGAGGACACAGCTGGTCACACTTTGGAAATGCGTGATGGTGGCACGGACTGTGGGTGCCAGGTGCTCATTGCCAGGCTTGTTCCTCTTGGACCAGGTGGAGCCCAGGCAATGACTGGGCACCACCTTCTTGAATAGCTCCTGGGGACCAAGGAGAGTGTCACCTGGCACTGCCACAGCCCAGCTCAGTGTCCACAGTCCCCCACAGGCCCAGGCAGGAGTCACTGGTCAGACCTGGAGCTCAGGAAGCTGAGGAAATGTCTGAGCCTTGTGGAGGTCCCCAGGATTTGTTCTCTGTCTACTGAGGGCATACAGCATGGGATGACTCAGGACCCAATACTGGTGGGGAAGGAAGGATTCATTTGCCTCCAGTCCATCCTCACTAACTCTAAGATTCCAGAAGGTGGCTCAAGTTGGTTCTTCCCAAGAGGGCATCTTTCACCCATCCTGATCACCCTCTGCTCTTTCTACTGAGATGCGTATTCTCCTGTGACAGCTACAACCATGGCCTTGTTTGTCCTCCTTCGAATTAAGTACACATCAGGTGCCTAATAAGTGCTGAGGCTGCTGGGCCTCCTGGGCAGATGGGTGCCAACCCATGGACCTGGCTGCACACAGTGAGTGTTCCTTCCCCACCAACTGGGCTGGGCCCTACCCAGCTTTCTATCTGTTCTACCTCATTTAATCTGCACAGTCAATATCTTTGCAGCAGGTGCTATTGGTGTCCATCTCTACTGACTATGGTGGATAGCAAAGGCTCAGAGGCTAAGAAAGTTACCCAAGTCACACAAATGGCAAGTGGTGGGACTGGGATTTGGACCCACGTCATAAGAGTCCAGATCAGGAAAAGGCAGGTCTGGGGCAACTGATGGCAGAGGGAATCCCTTCCCCCACCCCCCGACAAGAAACCAGCTGCTCACCGCATCTACTATTGTTAATTGTTCTGCCACCAGCTGGGGAGGGAAGGCCATGAGCTCACGCTTCTCCTCAGCTGGACTGTTCTCACTGGTCACATGCCAGGGGCATGAGGCCTCTGAGGCTGGAGCTGGCTCTGTATCTACTTTCAGAGGTGGAAAGCAAATTCTGAATATAGCTGAACATCCAGCTGACTCCGGCTCAGGGCTTGGCATTTGTGCCAGAGCTGATGTTTGCTCTTGCTCCAATACTGGAGCCGTTGATGGTGGCTCCATCACTAAAGGCGGTAGTAAAAATGGAGCTGGAACACGCTCTAAATCCAGAGTTGGCCTTTGTTCTGACTTTGCAGCAGGCTGGGGCTCTGGAGCTGGCACTGAAGAGGATAAAGAGAAGAGTTCCACAATGTAACGGAGTTTCCATGTGTCTTTCCAAAAACAGGAAGGATCCTACTGCCTTTAAGGGAATACCCAGCACATGAAGCCCACCCTAGATATTTTCCCAGACTGAAGTCCCCCTTACCCTCTTTTTCTGCCTCAGTGGGCCCTAGATGTTCCAAATGGACCATGGACAGTGGGTCACAGCACTTCAGGTCTAAGCCAGGCAAGCTGGCGTGTATGTATGCCACCATCAGTTTTAACCAAGGATGGTGCAGGGTCTGCCAGTCCTCCTGTAAGTATTGATCTGCCCAGCTGTGCAGCATGGGCGAGAGGGCCCTGGGGGAAGTCATGTGTGGAACAGAGTCAGAGGCCCGTCCTTTTTTTCCACACCATGCTTCCACATCCCCCTCCTTGTGTCCGGGCACCAAAGGATGGCCCCACCTCACCCCCAAACACTCTGTGGCCATGTTTTGCAATGGAAGGCATGGTCAGGGGCACATCTAAAGAGAGCCTTGTGAGGCCCATCCTTCCACTGACACTTGTCTCCCAAAGGGCCTGGGCATGGCCTACCCCATCTTCCATGCACATGAGCATTAGGACTGAGGTTTATGGCATATTTGTGAGCAGGCTGCTTACCACACCGATTATTCTGGGCCCCAGGGGTAGTGGTCAAGAGAGATGGATATGGACAGGGCAGGGAGCAGAAGATCGGACTGGAAACGATGAATCGCTCAGGGTCTGACTCAGCTTAGCCTCCCCTCTGCCTCCCAAGGCCTTAGGACCCCATCCACAGCTCTCTGACTCATTTTCTCAGGCGGTGGAAGCCCTCAGACCTCAGCCCTCCATGGGAATCAAACATGTGTGAGATGAGGGTACTACCAGTCCCTCCCCAGGGACTCCCTTACTATCCCATTCTGCTTCTAGGCCCAAGGACTACTCACCTTTTCAGTGGTTCTTCTGTTCCTTCCTCCACGTCTGAACATGGGAAGGAGCGTCTGTATCTACAGGAGGTCATGATGGCATCACATCTAATGTACTGGGAACACAACGGCTTATGACATCTAGTGTGACTCTCTGATTCTCAGACTAGAATTGAGGCCCAAGGATTGAGTCTGCTTCAGCCGTTGCATTATCTTAGTGTCTACAAAATGTCTGCATGTGTTTAATATGTATTGTTGAATGCATGAATCTCAACCAGAACCTTCCCACACATCTGAGTGGGACTGGAGCTCCTCTTCCTGCCCTCAGAGAGACCTCATCTGGCTACACCAAAGACAAGGACCAGGAATAGCTGGATGGAATCTCAAAATTTCTTTGCAGTTGGGAAACTGGGTTGCTTTCCATGTGCTTTCCAAGCTCACAGAAACCACAGGCCAGGGAAGGGCAAGGCAGAGAACTCTTCCACTAGGGACAGAGAAATAACAAACATGAAGATGCCCAGCATGTCCAGCAGTCCTATCTGCAGAGCAACGTACCAGGTAAGCACCTACCATGGGCTTATTATCCCATGATTGCCTACAATAACTCTGTCATGTTTATTCTTTTCCCACCCTACTTCTCAGAAGAGCAAAGTGCAGTGCAGAGAGGTATGTTGACATTCCCCAGACACACAGTTAGTAGGCAGGAGACTCACCATAATGCTATGGAGGGAGCAGGCACTCACCTTTTAAAAAAATGGCCCAGGATCTGTTGGGAGCTGGTGAAGGCCTGGTAGGGGTCCAGGAATGTGGTGATGTAGGAGATGTTTTCACTTGGGTATGCTGGTACCAGGGACTCTAACATTTGAATTGTGCCTTCCTGGAGCGTCCGCATTGTGCAGGCCTCATCCAGGCACAGTGTGGACTCCTTTTCACACTTGGTGGACAAGAGGAACATATAATCAGCAGCATCACCATGAGCCACCAGGAACATCAGGGTCTGGAGCTCAGGCTGGAAAGTCCCACCACCTCATGAACTAGTGCAAGAAGAGGGACCTGAGTGCCTATACCATAAAATGTTCTAGGCTTTAAAAGTGCATTTTGCATATGATCTCACTCATATGTGGAATTTCAGAAAGAAAACAGGTGAACATATGGGAAGGGGGGGTGAAAGGAGAGAGGGAAACAAACCATAAAAGACTCTTAACGATAGAGAACAAACTGAGGGTTGATGGAGGGAGGTGGGTGGGGGGCATGGGCTAGATGGGTGATGGATATTAAGGAGGGCACTTGTTGTGATGAGCACTGGGTGTTGTATGGAAGTGATGAACCACCGAATTCCACTCCAGAAACCAATATTGCACTGTATGTTAACTAAATACAATTTAAATTAAAAAAGGAAAGTTTTTAAATAAAATAAATAAATAAAAGTACATTTTTATTTGGGGGAATGATAAATAATTGATACCTCCAAGGCATTTTGTTAGCTGAAAACCATAGCACCTCTCTGTATTAACATCCCATATTAAGAGGATTATCCCAGTGAGTCATCAACAAACTTGCCCACTGTAGATACTGGGAAAGAGAGGATTAGGGATTTCATATGGTTGCTCAAGATCATGCACATCAGAACGGAGAACCATTTAAAGATAGGCTGCATGACATTCCCACTAAATTACCTGAGGCTTGGTCAGCTCCTGACAGCGACAGGAAGGATATGGAGTAGCCACATTCCTGGAATGGTCTCGGGTAGTTGCCAGATATGAGTCCGGGTTCTGGGCCCACCCCAGTCCCGGCTGTGGTAACCTGTAACCTCCTCTGTGCCTACACTTACCCAAGACCAATGTCGGCCCTTCTTGGTGTCCCGGTGCATCTGCCCCTTGTCTAGGGAGATGGAGTAGTTGAACCCATCAGCCAGCTCCTCGATGATCTCCTGGTTTGAGTTCTGCAAAGACAGTGCCTAATAGCTTGGCCAGGAGGAATAAAGGACACGTCTGGACATTGCCACTGGGGGATACTCTCAAGAGAAAATCTGTTCCACCCTTGGGGCAGAGTAGGGCATCTGCAAAGAACTCTACCCAGAGAGGAAACAAGATAAAACCTGTAGCGCTCAGGATTAACATGGGTAGAAGAACTCACCTTCTCATGCACCAGCCGTGACCGAGGTATAAACACGAAAGACCCACCAGGCTTCCAACACCTAACAATCAGCTTCTGCCCAGGAAGGACTCAACCCTGAGTCCTGCCTCCTCTGTCCCCAACACAGACACACAGACACACACACACAAAGACACACACACACGATGAGGGACGAGAGGTGCGGCGCTGCTCAGGTGGAATCACAATTTTGTCCCAGCCTGAATTGGCCTGCCTTGGGCTCCTTTGTGTTACCTTTCGGTGCCTTCTCCAAAATGACCGGATGCGTCGGGACTGATGGCTGAGCCAGTGTCTACAGCGACTAAAAAGATTCTCACTCTGAGCTTTCTTGAGCCCAGATCTTCTGCTACCAGAGAAACAACATTGAAACATCTTGCTCTCCTGACTGTCTCCAGTCAAGTGAGCTGGATAGGGGCTATCTCTAGAATGTAGGTCCTTGGTTACCACAGTTCTAAGTTCTGTTGAGGTCTATGACCACAAAGAAGTGAGGTCACTTTTTGAAGATTCTGTTACCCGGGCCCCTCCTTTCAATCAGACTTATCCAAAGTGCCCTATGGGCTGTTCACTGCTCCTCCTCTTCCCCCATGCCAACTGCTTAACCACACAAAATTAGTCAAAACATCCCTCTTCACACATCCCTGAAAATGTAATGAAGATCCTAGCTTTGAGAAGACAGAGCTGAATCTGGGCCTCCTTTTTCTTACCTATTCTTTGCCCTGGGAAAATCACTGTGCCTCTCAGGTCTTCCCCAGTCTCCAAACCTTCACAAAGGGGATGAGGCTAGAACCTACTTCCTAGGGACCTCAACAGTTGTATCTGAGATAATATCTCTTACACCTGGGGGATGGTGTCATATGTATCTATGACACAATTTAGTGATTGAAGAATTACAAGAAGGGGTTGGAACACCACTCAAAGCAGACCTGGGTTCCAGCAGTATAGTATTGAAAAAGTCACTTCCAACTTTGCCTCATTTTCAGGTCAGAGCCACGGGCGGGGGGGGGGGGGGGAGATGAAATTAATGTAAATTCAGATATTGTTATCCTCTGGCGTAAAATTGTTCCATTGTCTCCTGTTATATTTAGAATAAGACCCGGGGCGCCTGGGTGGCTCAGTCGTTAAGCGTCTGCCTTCGGCTCAGGTCATGATCCCAGGGTCCTGGGATCGAGCCCCGCATCGGGCTCCCTGCCCCGCGGGAAGCCTGCTTCTCCCTCTCCCACTCCCCCTGCTTGTGTTCCCTCTCTCGCTGTGTCTCTCTCCGTAAAATAAATAAAAAATGTTAAAAAAAAAAAAAAAAAAGGATAAGACCCATGATCGTCATCACAGCTTATGGGGTGGACTGCCTCCACAATGGCTTTCAGTGATCCCCACCCCTGGTATACACATCCCGGTGTAACCACTAAGCATTTAGAAACTGGGCTTTGACCAACAGAATATGGCCAACGTGATGGGATGTCTAAATTTGAGACAAAATGCCAAAAACACTCTCTTTCCTCTCACTCCATCGCTTGTGTTTCCTCTCTCTGGCACGCGCTCTCTCTCTCCCTCTCTCTCTGACTTGCTCTCTTTGTCATATCCCCAGGCAATCAGGCCCTGATGCTTTGAGCTGCCCCGTTAGAGGCTCACATAGAAGAGAAACAAGGGAGTGCCCAAGCTGACAGATGGGAAAGAACTCAGTCTCTCTGTTGAAACTGCATTGTGAGTTCTGTGAGTGAACTTGGGAGCAAATCCTCCACAGTCCAGCCTTAGATGAGGCTACAGCCCCAACCTTGTGATACATCCTGAGGCAGAGACACAGGGGGTGTCATGCCTGGACAGCTGGTCCACACAAATGGTGAGATATTAAATATTTGTAGCTTTAAAATGCAAGGTATTGGGGCAAGGTAGTCAGAGAGGAAATGGTAACTAACACAGTCCACGAGGCCCCAGAATCTGGCCCTGCCCACATTGCCCACCCCCTCTCTCCTCCAAGGCTCCCTCCAGCCACACTGGCCACTTTTCTAACCTTTTCTGATCAAACCCACTTTTGCCTGTGAGTCTCTGTCTCAGTGGTGCCTTCTCCCTGACACACGGCGCCAAGACTTGTGCAGAGCGGCTTCCTCTTGTCATTTGGGTATCGGCAATGTCACCCCAGTGAGGCCTTTCAGACCCTGCACAGTCCTCCCTCACAGCATCCCACTTTGTTTTCACCACAACACTTGCTCTTTCTTTTTTCACATCTACGTTTTGGTGCTTTTGTCTATCTCCCCCCGAGACTGTGAACTCCTGGCAGGCAGGGACCACTGCCCACCAGCGCTCCTTAGCAAAGCATGAGTGCTTGGTGCATAGTTGCTGAAGGAATAAACGGGAAGATCTTGTACCCCTCCTCGTGTTTTTGAGCACTCAGATAGTGGAGATGAATGCTAGTAATAGGAGATGCAAGTTGTTTCTGGGGCAGGGGGACAGCGAAAAAGACCTCTGTATGACTCTTGGATGCTCCAGTAGCTCAAGAAATGTATAGTTGGTACTGTGTAAGTTTAAGGTGTACAGCATAATTACTGGTCACACATGTATTGTGTAATGATTACCACATTAAGTTCAGTTAACATCCCCACCAAAAAATTATGTATTTCCTTGTCATGAGAAGTCTTAGGATTTATTCTCTTAGCGCCACTCAAGTATACTACACGGCAGTGTTAATTTATACAGTGCTTTTTTTTTTTTTTAAAGATTTTATTTATTTATTTGAGAGAGAGAGAGAATGAGAGACAGAGAGCATGAGAGGGAGGAGGGTCAGAGGGAGAAGCAGACTCCCTGCCGAGCAGGGAGCCCGATGTGGGACTCGATCCCGGGACTCCAGGATCATGACCTGAGCCGAAGGCAGTCGTTTAACCAACTGAGCCACCCAGGCGCCAATTTATACAGTGCTTTATGTCAACTATCTCAATAAAACTGAAAACAGAAAAAACAAAACCTCAGTGGGCACCACTGACACAGGAGGCTACCTTCTTCCTGGAGGCCAGCAGCTGTACGGCACCCCAGCCAGGAACACTAGCAAACAAGACAGGAACCTTTATTTGAGTTTCTGCATGATAGAGGCTCTCCAGAGTCCCAGGGGTAAAGGAGAAGGACCTGCAGGCTTCCAGGGCTGTAGGAGGGGCTTTGAGAGACCCTCATGCTCCCCTATTTCTATCCCCCCTGCCCAACAAGTGTCCTCTTAACTCATGAGGCATCCTTTTCTCCCAATTTTTATTTAAGTTCTAGTTAGTTAACACATGGTGTAACATTGTTTTCAGGAGTAGATTTTAGTGATTCAACACTTATATTTAACCCCCAGTGCTCAACATGACATGTGCCCTCCTTAATGCCCACCACCCATCTAGCCCATCCCCCACCGACCTCCCTCCATCAAACCTCAGTCTGTTCTCTATCGTAAAGAGTTTCTTACGGGTTAGCCCAGTGATGGCTGTTAAGGAGGGCTCGTATTGCATGGAGCACTGGGTGTGGTGAGCAAATGAAGAGTCATCGAGCATTACATGAAGAACTAATGAAGTACTGTGTGGTGGCTAACATAACGTAATAAAATAAAATAATAAAATAAAATTCTTCTTTAGTTTTTATTTTATATATACGTTATATATATAACATATATGTATTCTCTTTTGTTTCCTTGCATTGTATTTTATTTTAACTTTGTATGTTTATGATATATATATTTTTTTTCTTTACTATTTTGGGATCTAGGTTCTTTTTTTTAAAGCTTTTATTTAAAAAATATATATATTTTATTTATTTGTCAGAGAGAGAGAGCACAAGCAGGCAGAGGGAGTAGCAGGTTTCATGCTGTACCGGGAGCCCAAGGCGGGACTCAATGCCAATACCCGGGCATCATGACCTGAGCTGAAGGCAGACACTTAACCTACTGAGCCACTCAGATGTCCCAGGATCTGGGTTCTTTTAAGAAACAAGCCAAAATATACCCAGGGTCTAGTTTATTGTTTTGTTCTGTTTTACTCTTTGTTTGATTTTTTTTTTCTTATTTTGTTTTGTTTCCATTTTCTTCTAGTTTGTTTTGTCTGTATTTTTCTGTTGTTGTTGTTGTTCTTTTTGTCTTTTCTCTGTCTATCATCTATTCTTTTCTGGACATAATGATGAGCCAGAGAAGCTCCTCCAAAAAGAAAAAAACAGGAGGCAGTACTCACTGCCAAGGATTTAATCAATATGGATATAAGGAGGAGGTCAGAACTAGAATTCAAAACAATGATTATAAAGATACTAACTAGACTTGAAAAAAACAAAGGCGGTAGAGAATCTCTTACTGTAGGAATAAAAGAATGAAAATCTAATCAGGCTGAAATTACAAATGTTATTACTGAGATGCAGTAGAAAATGGAGGCTCAAACTGTGGAAAGAGCCAAGATGTCCATCGACAGATGAATGGATAAAGAAGATGCGGTATATATACACAAAGGAATATTATGCAGCCATCAAAAGGAATAAGATCTTGCCATTTGCAACGACGTGGATGGAACTGGAGGATATTATGCTGAGCGAAATAAGTCAAACAGAGAAAGATGTGTATCATATGACCTCACCGCTATGAGGAATTCTTAATCTCAGGAAACAAACTGAGGGTTGCCAGAGTGCGGGGTGGTGTGGGAGGGATGTGGTGCCTGGGTGATAGACACTGGGGAGGGTATGTGCTCTGGTAAGCGCTGTGAATTGTGCAAGACTGTTGAACCTCAGATCTGTACCTCTGAAACAAAGAATGCAATATATGTTAAGAAAAAAAAAAAAAAGAAGAGGAAG